GAGGAGAGACCCATCGTTGCATCTAGATGGCAGCTTGCAAGCTTTTAAGATCCCAGTCACTACTTGGCACAGTAAGAGGTGGAACAATGTTTTGTTTAGTGTGTTTTGCCAATTGAGCTTGATGTCCGAGGTGGTAAATTTTTAAGGAAATAGATTGCCCAGTCTTCCTTCCACAGAATGGCTGGTGGGTCAGATGCTTTAGGCACTGTGCTACCAGAGCTCACAAAGAGCTCTATTTTTATTTAACTTCTTGTCATTCCCATAACTGACTGTTCTTCTCCCTCTTGCAATTTTCAGGTTCCAACATCACAGCTGCCTTCCAAAGCCAGAGGAAAACTGAGCCCAGAGGACCCTTGGTAAGAGTTGAGCCTGAGGAGTGGAGAGACTGTTGGGTTGAACTACCTTTGTTGCAGCTATTGGGAGAGGGAAATTACATGCAGTAGAAGGTTGTGAGTAAGTATAGCCTTGTGGTTTTCTGGTTCTGGGATCAGAAGTTGCTAAGATTGTGTGGACTTACTTAGCCCATCTGGAGACATGGGTGATAACAGATGCAGTGCTCCTATTTGGAAATGTAGCCCTGGATGGAGTAGAACAGATTGAGGACCAATGTGAAAGTTAGGCTCTGTGTCTTGTATACTTCACCTCATTTAGTTCTTGTGGCAATTCTTATAAGTGGTAGTCCTGTCTCCATTTTCACCAAGGCTCAGAGAATGTATGTCACTTGCCTAAGGTCATTCAGCCAGTGAGTAGCAGGGCCAAGATCTGAGTTCAGATCTGTGTTCTTAGAGACCGCTTTGTGACAGAGCTTCTCCACCTTTAATGTGTTTATTAATCAGTTACTTAGGGATCTTGTTAAAAGGCAAAATCTGATTTACTGAGTCTGGGGTGGCATATGAGATCTGCATTTCCAACTAGCTAATGGGTAATGCTGAAGATGTGAGTTTGCTGGCCACACTCTGAGTTGTAGGGCTATATGGTCTGCTGTGTAGGCTTCTATGAGGAAGGGCAGGTCTCTGCTCTTCCCACCTCCAAAAGTAGCTGTATAGTAGTAGTTGTTGTTGTTACTTGGCCCAGTGTGGTGGTTATGTTTGTGTGTCAACTTGGCTGGGCCTGGTTGAGTGGCTAGGTAGCTGGTGGTAGTTATTCCCCATGATGAAACTGGCAGTCAATTCCATGGTGGGATCTACCACAAGCAGCTGAATAGCTGCCTTGGGTATGTGGTCTGCTTCCTGTATATAGGAAGCAGCTTTGGGAATGGTCTCTTGCTTATGGCACACTTGGACCTGGCTTGTAGCCATGTCATTGTTCAGCAGCCTGCCATGCTCTGCCAACCTTGGGACTTACGATGGCCTTGAATTAATGGCTTGTTATGTAGTTTGGTAACATCAGGACTGTCCCATTTTATTTGTTGACCTTGGGTTTGTTAGCCTCCCCAGCCTGTAGCTGCCTGAGTGAAGAGATGCCTCTAGTTTCAGTGGGCCAGGAGCAAGAGGCAGAGCTGAAGCCCAAGGTCAAGGGGCTTTCACACAGCCCCTAGAGGCTGGCACTTTGAACTTTGACTTCCAGCCTTCTGAACTGGAAGAGAATAAACTCCTGTGTGTTCAAGCCATCCCATTTGTGGTATATTCCTGTCAGAGCAGCACTAGGTAACCAGAACAGCCCAGTTTAAGGGCTTTGATCATGTGCGTTCTCCACAGAAGGTCTGGTTGTCCCACCTGAATACAAACCTTAAATGGCTCCTTCTGAGTCTGGGCTCTGCTGAGTAAGCAGTGCAGAACCTACATCCAAGACTTTTTGTGGAGCTATTTCCTGGAGTTGCAGACAAGAAGCCCCCTTGACCTGGCACTTTTTTTTTCCCCCTCCTTTTCCAAGCCAAGGGCTTGGCAGGTTTATGCCCAAAAGAAACATAGAGTGTTTGGGGCCTCTGCTGTGCAGCTAACTTTTACAAGTTTGTCACATTTTAAGTCAACCAGAGATCTGAAAATCTGGATTCACACAGAGGGTGAATTTGGAGCTGATTCCTTTTTTCTTTTTTTTTTTAATTGTGATTTGGGTGAAAGTTTACAGAGCAAATTCACTTTCCATACAGCAACTCACATATACTTTGTCTCATGACACTGACTGCAATTTCCAACAATGCAACAGCTCCCCTCCCACTTCCTCCCTATAACTACCTCTTCCCTGTATCCTTCCCTCCATGCACTCCTGCCCCCCTCCAAACTATCTCCCTGTGCATACACAGCCCTTCTATTCTCCCATGATTTTTCTCTCCAAGGAGCGTATCTACCTAATGTAAATGTTCAGCTCATAAGCCTATCTTTTGTTTGCATGGAAGGCAGAGGAATGGCCTCAATTCTGGACCTGAAGGGCAGCTAGGGGCCATAGTATCAGAGGTTCCATTCAGGCCCTATCAGACCAACAAACCTGGTCCCTTTTTTTTTTTTTTTTAAATGATACTGACTTTTCCACATTGTTCTCCCCCTCTATCCCAGATCTCCTACATAAATCCCCCTCTGAATGGTTGACAGTGGTAGCCGGGCACCACCTAGTTCTTCTGGTTTTAGGATCATGTAGGCTGAGGTTCTCATGGTGTATCGTGAGACTAATGTGGATGTGGAACAATGTTTTGTGTATATATTACGCCAGTTGAGCTTTGATGTCCCCTGTGACTATGGTCCTGAGTCCACAGGTCCATCTACTCATGGAGCTGATTCTTTTATAAAATTACTATTCAGCTCCTTTCTCCGACAAGCTTTCTTACTGTACTTAAATGAAGGGTTGGTTAACAAAATTTGGATGTATTTACAACTTCTCATGAACACTGGTATTGTGTGGGTGAGACCTAGCTTTGAAGCAGTTGCCAGGGTTGACATCTGGAGCAGGAGTTGTAGGTGAGGCTCTTGTTGGAAGTCCTCACTGGTCCCAGCTCTGGGCTAAGTGTACTTGTGAGCGACCATTTCCAGCTTTCCCAAGGTGTAGCTGGGTGTTACAGGGAAGCTCCAGCATTTCAAAATCTTTAGATCATCCTAGTGGCCATGTCTTTTTCTCTTTTTAGGTCAATTCTGAATTCTACACTGGCTGGTTAGACCATTGGGGCCAACCTCACTCAACAGTCAGTACTAAAGCAGTGACCTCCGCCCTCTACAACATACTTGCCTTAGGGGCGAATGTGAACTTGTGAGTGCTGAGTGCCCGAAAGGGAGGGGGCCCTGGAGAGCTAGGGGTTCATAGTGAAGGACTACTGTCTGTTCTCTTTTTTTCCATGTAGGTACATGTTTATAGGTGGGACCAATTTTGCCTACTGGAATGGTAAGAGCGATTTAACACCTACTTACAGAAGTTTATACTAGAATGTTTCTGGTGGTTAATCTTGGAGTTGTACCTACAGACAATTTTTATTTTCTACTTTTTATTTATTTATTTCCCTAAATTTTTTATTACATAAGAATTGTCTGTATAATTTAAAAAAATGTTTTTCTTTAAAAACAAATTATGGGAAATAACTTGAGCTTTTACAAACCTTATAGATATATTTTTTAAACCTGACTGGGTAGCCCTTAGTTGTAGTTTGTGACTGTAGCTTATTTGTTCACATGTTCTACTATGGTCTTTTTCTTTAACATTTTACTTTGTTGAGATATAATTCATATGCCATAAAATTCATCCTTTTAAACTATGATTCAGTGGTTTTCAATATATTCACAGAGCTGTGCAGGTATCACTACTGTCTAATCTAGAATATTTTTGTCACCCCAGAAAGAAACCCCATACTCATTAGTAATCACTCCCAAGCTCCCCTATCCCACCCACCCTTAGTCCCTAGAAACCACTCATCTGTTCTCTCACTGCATGGATTTCCCTATTCTGGATATCTCATATAAATGCAATCATGCAATATGTGGCCTTGTGTATTTGGCTTCTTTCACTTAGCATAATGTTTTGAAGGTTCATCTGTGTCTTAACATGTATCAGTCCTTCATTCCTTTTTATTGCCAAATAATATTGCATTATATAGTTATAACGTATTTTATATATTTATTCATCAACTAATAGACTTTTGGATTGTGTCCACTTTTGGGGCCTTATGAATAATGAAGCTATGAACATTCACGTATAAGTGTTTGAATGCCTGTTTTCAGTTTTTGGGGTATATACCCAAGAGTGGAATTGTTGGGCCATATGGTAATAATTGAAGGAGCTCTGGTGGTGTAGTAGGTAAGGCATTTGGCTGCTAAGCAGAAGGTCAACGATTCAAATCCACCAGGTGCTGCATGGGAAAGATGAGGCAATCTACTTCTGTAAAGATTTATAGCCTCAGAAACCCAGCGGGAGTTGTTATGAGTCAGAACCAACTCAATGGCAGTGGGTTTGGTTTTGGTATGGTAATGCTGAATGACACATCAAAAGAAAATGGAAGGAATACACTGTACAGAGTCACTGTACCATAATGAATTGGTTGACGTTCAGCCATTTCAGGAGGTAGCATATGATTGAGAATAGATGGTATTGAAGGAAGAAGTTCAAGCTCCACTGAAGGCATTAGCAAAAAACAAGGCTCCAGGAATAGATGGAATACCAATTGAGATGTTTCATCAAACAGATGCAATGCTGGAAACACTAACTCATCTGTGCCAAGAAATTTGGAAGACAGCTAGCTACCTGGCCAACTGAATGGAAGAGATCCATATTTGTACCTATTGCAAAGAAAGGTGTTCCAACAGACCTGGCTGCTGAAGCCAACTACTCAGAAAGGGATTAAAATAGGAGATCCTTGATAGAATCAGGGAGCTTTGGTAGCATAGTCCCTAAGGCATTTGACTGCTAACCAAAAGGCTGGTGGTTCAAACCCACCAGTCACTCCTCGCAAGGAAGATAGGGCAATCTACTTCCATAGTGATACTGCCTCAGAAACCCAAGAAGGGGTCACTATGAGTCAGATCCGAGTTGACAGCAACAAGTTTGGTTTGGTTTGGATAGAATCGGGGAAAATGTAATGAAATTCAAAAACATAAAAAAGACCAGGATTACTGGTCAGATAGAGACTGGTAAAACCCCTGAGACTATGGCCCTTAGTCACTCTTCTGGCCTGGAATTGGACTTACTCCTGTGGCTTAACACTCAACCAAATAATAGACTGGCCTGTGAGCTGAACAGTTACACCAGGGAGATGCACTCCTCTTGACAGTCAGGCATTGGAGATCAAAAGGGCAGCATTTACGCAGAGAGAAAACTAGGCAGGCAGGACTGCATACGTAACAGCTCCCCTCCCATTTCCTCTCTGTGGTTACCTTCTCCCTGTGTCCTTCTTACCTAAGTATTTGAATTGATGCATTTAAATTATGTTGGCAAAGAATATTTAATATATTAGGGACTGTCAGAAGAATGAACAAGCAATGTTCCTTAGAAGTGAGGATGGTGAGATTTCACCTCTTACACTTTGGACATATTATCAGGAGGGACCCCATCTGGAGAAAGACATGCTTGGTAAAGCTGAGGCTCAGCAAAAAAGAGGAAGACCCTCAATGAGATGGACTGACACAGTGGCTGCAACAATGTGCTAAACACAGCAATGATTGTGAGGGTGGCACAGGACCAGGCAGTGTTTTATTCTGTTGTAATTGATGTCATTATGAGTTGGATCCCACTCGAGGGCACCTAACAACAACAACATAGTAACTATTTGTTTAGCTTTTTGAGGAACTGCCAGACTGCTTTTCAAAGCAGTTGTGCCATTTTACATTTCTAAATGTTGTTTTTTTTTTTTTTTTTGAGTAGGAAAAATTGTGACAAATTTCTCTGCATTATCATTCGTTTTTGCGAAGACAAACTTTTGCTCTGTTGGTCTTTTTCTAAGGCCTCATTCCCCACCTCTCTCTACATCTGCATGTCTTTCTCTGAGTCACTGAGGATTCCCTGTGGTTGATTTTTGGAGGCTTAATTTGGGCCCAAATCTCCCAGGAGCTGAATAGATACAGTTAGCTGCTAAGGAAATTTCTTTTTTGTCCTACTGTCTTTTTTTTTTCTGGGTGGAATGGATTAGGAGAAGACATTCCTTACAAATATTCTTAATGTTATTTTAATTATTAAAGCTAAGAAATGGAGATATTGCAAAACTCAAATGTCATTGCTTATAAGACAATAAGATAATAGAGACAATCGATCATCTCTCTGTGGTTGTCTTCTTGTTAGAAAGAGTTACTTTCTAATTTAAGAGTTACTTATGTTTTCCGTTGAGTAGATGGGGATTCTACCTCACGGTCTTTGACAGAATTGAGACAGTCATCCAACCTCGGAATGAAAACTGATTCTTGTTTGGCACACTACAATTCATGAAACAGATTTTTAATATTTTATTTAAAACAATACTTCTTAGGGGGGAACAAAAAAGGACACTATAAATACTATCATTCAGAAAATGGAAGTTGTCCTTAATTTTCTCCCCTGCCCCCACTTTAATCAATGTTGTTGTTGTTGTCGTTATGTGCTGTCAAGTTGGACCCGACTCATAGCGACCCCACCTTGGGTTTCCGAGGCAGTATCACTATGGAAGTAGATTGCCCTATCTTCCTTCCGAGGAGTGGCTCGTGGGTTTGAACCACCAACCTTCTGGTTAGCAGTCAAGTTCCTTAGCCACTATGCTACCAGAGCTCCCACTTTAATCAATAGAAGTTCTTTTTCCACCTCCATTTTCTTATTTAGTCCTCTTAACACTCTCATCAGGAGTAGGGATTATCAACAACACTTTATAGGAGGGAAAAGCAGAGGGTAAAAATGCCAGCACATTTCCTGTTCAGCTGTCAGGTGGTGGAGCCTAGACTAAAACTCAGGCTGTGGCAAGCAAGAGTCACTTCCCTTCGTAGAACCCCATGCAGACCAAAGGCCCTGAGTCAGACCCCCAACCTAGCCCCTCCCTGTACTCAGGAGGGTTCAGTCTCTCTGAATCTTTACTGTTGCCTGATCCCTTTGGGGAAAAGGAAGGGCTAGTCTATGCTTCTTAGTGGCTGTTTAGGCCAGCTTCCCAGAAGAATATAACAGATAAACAGATGGAGAGGAAATTATTGCCCATCCTGACCAAGAGGATAAGCCTCCCATGGCAAACTCTCACACATGTACACCCTAAAGGTGCACATGTTCATACAGGTATGTGTATGCACACTGGGTATGTGTACATGTACCCATCTGTTTGAGGGCTTCGTATGGGATCCAGGCTGTGCTCACAAAATGGGAAGAGTTGTGGATTGCTAAGGTGAGGTAGGTCTTGGCCATTTCCTTTGCCTTCTTTCTTCCAACCCCCTAACATGGCCCAAGGAAGCTTCAATTTATACTGTTTATCTATGATGCTGCCCTATGGTGGTTAGAAAGCATCCAAAGACATGTTTTGCTGGTAGAACAAGAACAAAGACTTCATTTCCAATCTGTCCTTTAACCCATTGGACAGCTTCCCAGCCTGCGTTTCCTTGGCTTGTTGAGTTTGTTCCTAGAGGTCATACTCGTTGTTCAGTGTTCTGGTTACCTAGTGGCACTCTGACAGGAATATACCACACATGGGATGGGTGAACAAACAGGAGTTTATTCTCTTACAGTTCAGGAGGCTAGAAGTCCAAGTTCAAAGTGCCAGGCTCTAGGGGTTGGCTGTGTGAAGGCCCCTCAACCTTGGGCTTCAGCTCTGCCTCTTGCTCCCAGACCACTGAAACTAGAGGCATCTCTTCACTCAGGCAGCTAGCTACTAGCTGCTGAGGCTAACAAGCCCAAGGTCAACAAATAAAATGGGACAGTCCCGATGTTACCAAACTACACAGCAGGCCATTAATTCAAGTCCATTGAAAGCCCCAAGGTCAGCAGAGCATGGCAGGCTGCTGGACAACGCCACAGCTACGTGCAGGGTTCAAGTGCCATAAGCTGGAGACCATTCCCAAAGCTGTTTCTTATATACGGGAAGCAGATCACATACCCAAAGCAGCTACTCAGCTGCTCCGGTAGATTCCACCATGGAGTTAATTTCTAATCTCACCATGGGGGATAACTACCATTAGCTGCCCAGCCACTCAACCATGCCCAACCAAATTGACACACAAACTTAACCACCACATTCAGCTCTGCTTTGCAAACGCTCATTGAGCTCCTTCTCTGTGCCTGGCTCTGATGGGGACTTGGTAAATGAGGCGTAGTTTGTACTCTGAGGTGCAGAGTCTAGTGTGGAGGGAGACTTTCAAATAAGAAGCACAGGGCAGCGCAGTCGGTGCCATATTAGAGGGAGAAGAGGAACCACAAAGAAGATGAACTCCTTGCAGCAAAGCATATGGTTTTATTTTTCTTTGCATCTCACAGCAAGGGATACTGTTTTAACCTATGTGTCCCCAGAGGCAGGTGCATTCATTGGCTGTGAAGCTGTGTCTCTGATTAGTAAGAAATGGGAGGCAAGTAATATGACTGGATCAGTTCAGTTTGTTGAGTGGTCCAGGCTTCCAAAATGTAGGTTCTGTGAAGAGAACTGACGAGGAACAGTCTTTATAGGAGGTGGGGGTATGGGGAGGGAAGGAGTCAATGCTTAAGGGGATCCTGAGCTTCAGTTAAAGGTGATGGAAGAATTTGGAAACAGATAGTGGCGATAGTTGAACAACAGAATGAGCATAATTAATATCACTGAATTGTACAGGTAAAAAATGATGAAATGCTAAGTATTTTGTTATATATATGTTGTTATTAGTTGCCACTGAATCAGTTCCAACTCACGATGACTGCATGTGTTGCAGAGTACAACTGCTTTGTAGGGAGTTCTTGACTGTAGTCTTAACAGAACCAGATTGCCAGGCCTATACATACAATTAGGGAGCTCTGGCAGACTAGTGCCTAAGGCAGTTGACTGCTAACCCACCAGCCACTCCTCAGAAGGAAAGTTGGGGCTGCATCCAGCTCAACACCTCCTTCTGCCCAATCAATTCTGCCAATCACTACTTCTGTAGTGATACTGCCTCAGAAACCCAAGGAGGGGTTGCTATGATTTGGGTCCGACTCGACGGCACATATCAACAACAACCATATATATACAGTTAAAAAAAAAAAAGTCTCTGTGGGCATGAGCTGATCTTTCACCTGGCTCCTCAGTCGTCTCCTCCTCCAGTAGGGTCACCCTGCTGTGGCTCCAGTGCTTATATGCTATGTTGAAGGTACATGTTACTAATCATATATGAACTTTCAGATTTTGTGCCTCATTTTCTTAAAAATTAAGTTGCATGTAAGATTATTCCTGAAATAATTCGTTCTCACACACATGCATTGCAGAGTGCTCTCTGCAGTGGAGGAGAAAAGGGTGGCACAGAGCCTTGCTGGTCCACAAACAGGTACCATTAGCAGCACCTGGGAGTGCAGAGTCTCAGGTCGCACGCAGAGATGCTGAATCAGAATCCTGGAGTGGGCTCAAGAATCTAAAATTTAACAACCCCACCATGTGATTCTTCTGCATGGGTAAGTTTTCAAAGTACTGGCATAGAGCCACTGCCCCAGCATTGCCCACAACCTCATACCCGAGAATGTCATCTGTGACAAAGTTGAGTGCCTCTGGTCTAGACTCTGCCTCTTGGACAATAATTGTAAGGACTTTTGTTTCTTTGATCCCTTGATATACGCAATATGGCCACTATTCATTGGTCTTTGTTGTAGCCCAAGCTCTCAGGGAAACAGACTCTGAAATTATCAAGCAGGAAGTTTATTGGTGGGTACTCTCAGAAGCAACACTGTAAGAAAGTGTAGGAGGCAGGATTGGGCAGAAGGAGGTGTTGAGCTGTGATGCAGCCTCAATAGTGGCCTCAGTCGGTCCTAGAGGGAGCTCTGAAGCTGGGATGGCCCTTTGAGGCTAAGGGACTGAGTTTTTATATCCCCACAGTGGTTAGTCATTGGATATGAACTCGGGAGAGTCATAACCTTGGGTGAGGCAGCTTAGCAGAGGGCAATGTCCAGAGAGAGGTATATCTTGGAGCCGATGGCAGCCATCGCTGCTGGCAGTTAGGGGAATGAGTAAGTGCCTTGGTTTAGAAGGAGAATCTATACTCTATAGACATTAACCAACTGATTCCAACTCCTGGTAACCTCATGTATATCAGAGTAGAACTGTGCCACATAGGGTTTTCAGTGTCTGATTTTTTGGAAATAGATCACCAGCCTTTCTTCTGAGGTGCCTCTAGGTGAATTCCAACCTCTTACCTTTAGGTTATCAGCTGAACGTGTTAACTGTTTGCACCATCCTTAAAGACATTACAAAGCCCTTAATGTTACATTTTATTTCTTTGGGCTAATGTGTCTCTGCAGTCATGTCCCACTTCTGTTTTGATAACCGCCGCAGTGATTTTCTGTTGATCCTTGGCCCACACATCTGTGTCTCCACTATTTCTCAGACACACAGTTTGAGTTCATGAGAAGAATTGCTGAATTAATAGTCAGAGATGTGGGTCATATCATAAGCTCTGCTGTTTCTAGTTGTGACATGTTGCATAAATTTTGTTGAGGAGCCTCAGATTCCCTGCTTGTCAGTGCTGGTGATGTCAACTGGGGTTGTAGCTGTGAGCTTCTGCTGACAGAGTGGATAGAAAAAGTGCTTTGTCAACTCTAGATGCTTAGCAAGTGCTGCTTATCAGAAGGAATTCTTTTCTCTAAACCTTGCATCTCTTGAAGGCTACTTCTGTGTCACTTAACAATTGGTTTTAATGTGTCCTTTATTTTATCTTCTTCCACAGAGCTGAACCTATGAATTCCAAAGAGGCAGGGCCTTTGGCAGTAATTAGAGGCTCGTTTTTGTCTTTCAGGGGCCAACACTCCCTATGAAGCGCAGCCTACCAGCTATGACTATGATGCCCCACTGAGCGAGGCAGGGGACCTCACTGAGAAATACTTTGCTGTGCGGGACGTTATCCGAAAGGTGGGTGCTTTGTACAGGCCATGGGGGCTGGTCTTGAAGAGTGCCTCCCTTGAAGTCATTGTGCCTCTATAGGCAACTTCCTTCCTGGAGCCTTCATGTTTAAAAGGAGAGATGCAGGGAGGCATCTGGTAGACTTGGGTGGAGTCTTGCCCCAACTGACTAAGAGTGAGACTGAGCAAGGTAATTTATGGGTGTGTATTAAATTGTAAAACTGAGATTTCAGCACGTGGTTGTGTTGTAAGGATTAGAAAGAACATATATAAAACATCCAGAACAGTTCCTGCCACATATATGTCCAGTAAGTGGTAGCCATTCCTATTATTTAATAAATAATAAAGGCAAGAAAATGTGTGTCCACATAATCAAGTGTGTATAAAGAACACATCTGTAGGAATTGTGAGGAGTCCCTGGATGGTGCAAATGGGAACATGCTAACTGAAAGATTGGAGGTTCGAGTCTATGCAGAGGCACTTCAAAAGAAAGACCTGGTGATCTACTTCCAAAGAGTGTCAGCCATTGAAAACCGTAGGAAACACAGTTCTACTCTGAAACACATGGGGTCGCCATGAGTCAGAATCGACTCAACAGCAACTAGTTACTGATAGGTATTGTGGAGCACAGTGCAAACGTGAGCTGTTAGAATGCTTCTCTTTTCTGTTTGGAGCAAATGATTGCCATTTCCTTCTGGCCTGCCACCTGAACAGCTTACTCCTGCTAATGTTGTGACATTTGGAGGCACCTAAAGTACCCAGGTGGGGTTTCCTGTCTCTGCTGTGGTTTTTTTTTTTTAAATAACCCACAGTTTTTCTGCTCAGTCACCTGAGTTTTGAAGTTAAAAAACAAAGGTTTTTTTGCCTATAAATGGTATGATTTTTCTTAAAGGTATGCTGTACTCTCAATTTTAAACAAAAGCATTAGATTGAAGATTTGTGTTAAGAAATGTTTTAAACTTATAGAAAAAAATATGATCTAGGTTTGACTACTCTAAGAACTTGTCCATTTCACCTAAATTTTCAAATGTATTGTTAAAATGTTGCTTGTATCCTTTTATTAGGGGTTTAATCTCTGTAGAAATTATAGTGATGACTCCTAAACTTTCTTATATATTTGTTCTCTGCTTCAAAGCTTTCTGTTTCTATCCTTATTGTGTCCTTCCTAAGAAGCTTAGTCTTTTAATCCAGCCTTTCTTCTTTCTAGTTTAAACATTCAAGGTTATACATACCCTTCAAGTACTGCTACAGCTACATCTCATAAATTGTGATATATAATATTTTTATTATTGTTTGCATTTGCACATGTCCATTTTTAATTGTCTTTGACCCTGGATATGTTTAGAAGTTTTTTGTTTGTTTGTTTTTGTTTTTTCATTGTTGAACATAGTATTTCCCCAGTTTGTTATTGTTCCTAACATATTTATGGTTTGCTTAGAGAATATAGTTGGTATGTTACTAGTCCCTTGAAATTCACTGAGGCTGAAGACTTGATTGGGGCTGAAGGAACCATTTCCACATGCACTCACATAGCTGTTGGCAGAATGCTTCAGTTCCTTGCCATGTGGATCTTTCCAGGATGGTCAAAACATGGTTCCTCATAGTAACAATCCATGAAAGAGAGAACACCCCCAAGACAAAAACTGCAGGTTTTTTTATTACCCGGACTTGGAAATGTTGTGCCGTTACTTCCTCTACATTCTCTTCACTAGAAGCAAGCTACTAAATGCAGCCCACACACAAGGGGAAGGGAATTGATTTCCATTTCTTAAGGGGAGGAGTGTCAAAGATTTGAGGGCATATCTTTAAAGCCACTGCATTTTGCCCACTCGAGGCTGAATTTGAGATAGGCAGTATTAATTACAATCACAAGTAGAGTTTGGTTATGCTAGTAATCAAATAACCAGGTAGATTCATTTGTTTCATTTTATTGTTTATTTTTTGGAATTGACTTTTTTTTTTTTTTTTTTTTTTTTTTTTTTTTTTTTTTTTTTTAATTTTTTCGTTGTGATTTGGGTGAAAGTTTATGTTCGACGGGAACGTGGCGCCAGTGGGGCGGGTAAAAGATTGGCTAGGAAGAAGATGCAAACAGGATGCATCCTGGATGCAGCTTCCACCTGATTGGTTCCCGCCTTATTTTGAACCAGCACAGGTCCTCCCCCCAACAGATATGCTAATGTGGTGCTTTCATCTGATTGGTTCCCGCCTTTTTTCCCCCTGTCCCCACGCAGGTCTGCTATCCAACTATATTACACCTCCCCATTCCCCGCCCCCCGCGCCTCCCGCGGCGTGATATCTCTGGCGCCTCCTCTCTGGGACCCGTCAACCTTGCCCAGGTCCCCCTCGGGGACCGTAAACCTCATCCGGGTGCGCAGAATAAACCTATTCTTTATCCCGCTCTTTGTGCTGCCTCCTCTTTTTTCATCACGACTTTACAGTTTACAGAGCAAATTCATTCTCCATACAGCATTTCATATACATTTTGTTTCATGACATTGACTGCAATTCCCCACAATGTAACAGCTTTCTTTCCACTTCCTCCCCATAGTTACCACTTAGGAATTGACTTTTTTAAATAAATTTTAATTTTGTTTGTTTATATAAAGTTACAAGATACTGGCTTCCCTAAAGATACAACCAAGAAAACCCTATGGGGCATTTCTACTCGATCACATGGGGTCGCTATGAGTCAGAATCTATACAACAGCAACTAACAACAGGCGATTACAGTGTGCACTGGAGTTTCAGAACCATTGGCTTGGAGTGGGGGAGAGATCTAAGGATGGAATTGCTTTTCAAATAGCTTTTTCCTAGTCCCCCTTATTTTAGCTCCTGTTCTGCTAGCTCCAGAAGTATGTGGTGCTTCCAATTTTGAGCCTTATACTAATTCTGCAGTCAAATTTGGGTTGTTTTTCAGCTTTCTCCCGTGCTGAGTTAGAATTTGGCTTTTTTGTTACTCGTTTGCTGCTCTTTCATCCAGTTTTCAGAAATTTTGTTGCTGTTCTAGATTCTCCTATTCTTCAGTTCTTGTGTATGTATGTGTTATAAAAAATCTGTTTGTGGGATTTTAGTGGTATTTCTGGAAATAATTGAATTTGATATTTTAAACTATTTGGAATTGCTGCCATTTATTAGTTTCTAAGTGATGAATATGTAGATTATTTCCAACTTTTTAATGACATTCAGTGTACCCATTCAAGGATAAAACAAAAAACCAAACTCATTGCCATGGAGTTGATTTTGGCTCATAGTGAGCCTATAGAACAGAGTACAGTTGCCACATAGGGTTTCCAAAGCTATAAATCCTTATGGGAGCAGACTGCCACATCTTTCTCCTGTGGAGCAGCTGGTGGGTTTGAACTGCTAACCTTTTGGGAGCAGCCAAGTGCTTAAATACTGTGCCACCACTGTTCCTTAATTCAAGGAAAAAAAAACAAAAACCCACTGCCATCAAGGAGATTCTGACTCATAGCCATCCCCGTAAGGTTTCCAAGGCTGTCAGTCTTTACAGAAGCAGACTGCCTCATCTTTTTCCTGTAGAGTGGCTGCTGAGTTTGAACCACTGACCTTTAGGTTAGTAGCCCAATGCCTTAACCACAGTCCCACCAGAGCTTCAATGATAATGACAAGAAATTTCCTAGAAATAGAATTGGTTCAAAGGTTATTTGCATTTGACATTTTGGTAGGTATTACCAAATTGCCCTTCAGTGAAGTTGCATCAGTTAAGAGTCCTATTTCCCCACACTTTTACCAGTGCTATGAATTATCAGACTTTTTGATCTTTGTCATCTGATATGTGAAAAAGATAGTTTTTAAAAAACTACATTTCTTTAACTATGAGTATTAGAGTTGTATAACTTTTTCATGTACTAATTGTCCATTTGTACTTTGTTTTCTGTAATTTATAAGAATTCTTTTATGTGGTAATTTTGGTTTTTTTTTTTTTTCCTGCAGAAAAGTAATCTTGACTTTTTATGTAGGCAAATGTATTACTCCTCTCATTCCTGGCTGTTTCCTGACTACAGCAGTATAAATAGGTTCCCTTGGAAAACAAAATTTTTGTGATTTCATCTTTTATGTTTAAATTTTTATGTATGTGGAATTTCTGTTGTTGTGAGGGATGAGCTAGGGACCTAGTATTACTTGTTCATCTCTTAAATGACTAGCCAGTTTTCACAGCACCTTTCTTTGACTTATGTATTATTTTGCCACTAAATGGTTTTGGTAAGTTTATCATCTATTTAATTTCCATATAAGGAGCACTGTTGGCAAAACGGTTAAATGCTTCAGTTAAAACTGAAAGGTAGGTAGTGCAAACCCACCAGCTGCTCTGTAGGAGAAAAGACCTGACTGGTGATCTACTCCCTTAAAGATTACAGCCTGGCACACTCCTTGGACAATTCTACTCTGTCATATATGGTTGCTGTGAGTCGGAATCAACTCAGTGGCACACAACAATAGTAACAATTCCCATATGCATTTGGACCTCTTTCTTTCGTATTATTGAATTTTTTTTTTCCTTTACCAATATTACATCCTTTAAATTATTACCTTTAAACTATACTTTTTTAAAATCTGAAGCACCAGTCTTCTTTCTTTACGCATTCAGAATTTCCCTGGCCATTTCTGTAAGTTGAATTTTCTGCATAAATTTTGGTATCATTTTATCAACTTCCAAAATAAACGAAAAACCCAGATACCTGCTGATATTTAGATTAGTTTTATATTAAGTTTACACAACAAATTAGTGGTGATATTTATAGTGTTGAGTCTTACTCATGAAGAAAAATTGCCTTACCATTTAGTTAAGTCTTCTCTAATGTCCTCCTCGTTTTACATTTTGTCTGGCAGTCCCTGAATTACGAACGAGTTCTGTTCCTGTCTTTAAGTTGAATTTGTATGTGAGTCAGAACAGTTGTGTATGGTTCATATCTAATGTCAGTTAGTTAAATGTTTGTCATAATATATTGTATATAAGGTACCTTACTATGTGTGAAGAATATTTAAGAA